CACAGCATCAGGCTGCAAACCAAAACGCCCTGCTCTGCCTCACCCCCATCGACGGCGGCCAAGGGCTTGACCTGTATCCTCTGTGCGAGAAAAGCACGCCAAGTTTCTAGTACTGCCTGTCCATGCTTACCCTCCTGTCCACTGCTCACTTTGGTGCTGAGATCAGTGGTTTGAAATAGTTCCCAATTTCATTTAAAATAAATTATGTTTGGACAGTGGACCGTGTGGGACAAGATCTACCCCTTAGGAAGGCAAGATTTGAGAGAGAACCAAACCTTGCCCAAGAAGGTGACCAGAAAGTGACTAACATGGAGCTGCTTTTAGTTCCAAAGGAAGCCTATAAGCTTCTTGTCTGTGGCTTATTTGCCTTTTAAAGTCTGTTTCTTTAAAACAGGATTGGTGTTAGAGAGAGATAAAGAGGGACAAAGAGAGAGATCTTCCATCTGTTGGTTTATCCCTTAAATGGCCGCAGTGGTTGGAGTTGCACTGATCCAAAGCCAGGAGCCAGGAGCTTCTTCTAGGTCTCCCATGTGGTTGCAGGAGCCCAAGGATTTGCTCCATCCTCTGCTGCTTTCCTGGGACATAAGCAGGGAGCTGGTTGGGAAGTGGATTAGCTGGGACTCAAACTGCTATCTATATGGGATGCTGGCACTGTAGGCACAGGCCTAGATCCACTGTGTCACAGTGCCCACCCCCTATTTTTTTTCCCCCTTTTAATTGGCAAGCAATATTCTCCTTGAGTCTCTGCTGAGAAGAGGCTGGGGCTTCGTCCAGGAGTTGCATGATGTACCGTCTCGTGTCCTGTGGGTCATCTCTTTCTGTGAATTCCTGCCCCTGCTGGAATCCTCCCTCCCTGTGCTACTGTCTTCCCTTCTGACCCTGCTAGTAGCCAGGAGTCCTGGTTACAAAAGAGAGGTGGACAACAGGAAGATAATTTGCTAGATCCCAACCTGGGCAGGTGGGGGTAGGCCAAGGGAAGCGTGAGAGTCAAGGCATGGGCTTGCTCTCCAGCTGCTCTGGCTACCTCCCTTCCTTCTTGCCCACTGCAGAGGGTCTGGGTGGACCTACAGCCCTAAGCCTCCTCCATCAATGGTGTGATACAGGAATCCCTTCCCGGCAAGTGGGAACATTTGAGCAAAGGGTTTCAGTTGTTCCGTCTTTGGTTGAGAGCCTTTTAGTGGATCATCCCTCATGTTGTGACAGGCCAGCCAGGCCCTGCGTCTGACTTCCAGAGGGTGGGAAGTCTGGAAGCTGTGGTGAGTAGCTCCCCTGAGATCCCCATAAGCAGGTGTTTCCCAGATGCAGAGGCTGCTCTTCTGGGAGCAGGCTGACGCAGTGTCCTCAGCACTTGCGGGCAGGGGACGTGGCACATGGCTGGAGCCCGTCACCTTCCCAGGCCTGCCCCCCTACTTCTCCCTCCTGAATGGGTTCAGAATCCAAACATCTTCTCCCTGAGCTGGGACTATGCTCAGCATTTCTGTTGCTTTGTTGTACAGTCACAGAATTCTTCTTGGCCTTCCCCCTCAAGGTCCGCCTTTTCAAGCTCTCGAGACACACAGATGATTCCGTGAATGAAGGAGCCCCCGTGGTCCTTAGGCAAAACCCTTGTACCCTCTCAGAGCCGTGCTCCAAGGTGCCGCTGCTCCAAAAGTGAGTTCTCTCAGGCCTGTGTGCATTTGTGCATAGAAAACAACCCAGCCCAGTGCGTTGTGAAGGAGAGTGTGAAAGGTCCCCCAAACACAGAATCAATCTAAGTGTCCATCAGCAGATGAATGGATAAAGAAAATGAGATATACACACACTAGAATAGTATTCAGTTGTGAAAAGAATGAAATTTTATCATTTGCAACAAAGTGGCTGAAATGTGGGAGTGGCATGTTGAGGGGAAGAAGCCAGACACAGCAGACACATACCACATGCTTGCCCTTATATGTGGGAGCTAAAATTTTAAAAATAGAAAGCTAAGGAAAAAAAAAAAAGAAAAGAAAAAAGTCTCTGTGCACCAGGTTTGTTACAAATAGAGCATTTTGTCAACCTTGAAGTCCACAGGTGGATGGAAGGCCAGACTTCCATAATTTTAATACTGTTGTGACTTTTTCACAGTCCTTTTGCTTTTTCGCTGTTGATTCTTTCTTTGGTAGAGCCGTTGAGCCTTTGACCATCATGGAAATTAGAAATCTATCATTATGCAGGCTCTTTTTGTATGTTTCAGTCTTGGACTTATCTTGGTTTTTGCAAGGAACAAACAAAAGTGGCTCAAGGCAGGAAGAGACGAGAGGATGTGGGGATGGAAATGAAAGTGGGGTGATTACTGGTTCAACTAATTCGTGGAATGTGGCATCACACAGCTTCAAGGTGACCATGTGGCAGGACCCAGAAAGCCAAAGGGTGTTTGTGTGTCTCCCTGCAGAGCCAGCAGGACCCATCCCAGTCTGGTCACTTCCCAGGGCTGGCCTCTAGTCGCAGCTGCATTGCACCTGTGCCTTCTGAGTCCCAGGAACCTACGACTCCAGGGCTGTCACTCCTGCAGGAGCCCGGGGCCCAAATCACATCAAACCTCCTAGCATGAGGTGGGCAGGGGGCTGGGGATGAGTTCTCGGCATGTGACCTGTGGTCCGCAATGGACTTCAGATACAACTGGAACATTCTGACTGTCCTGGGGATTGATTTCTTCGGGCTGGCATTTGGCACGTGCTTAAGACGCTGCTTAGGCTGCCTGTATCCCAGAGTGGAGGGCCTGGCTGATAGAATCCCAGCTCTGCTTCGGACCCTGGCTTCCTGCTGGCACTCACCCGGGGCGGCAGCAGAGGATGGCCCTTGTACTTGGGTCTCTGTCATGCATGTGAGAGACCCACTGACTTCAGTATGGCCCAGTCATACCTGGGGAGTAAATCAGTGGGTGCTGGCAGCTCTCTCTTGTTCTCTCTGTGTCTATTTCTAATACAATGAAAATCAATACATTTTAAAAGGCATCCAAGCCACCCGCTCTGCTTCCGTCAACACTTCGTAGTGATAAGATTGCTGTTGTTTTGCAAGAGCTTTTTAAAGCATTATTCTTTTTTTTTTAATTGTCTTTAATTGACAAGCAGAGTGATAGAAATAGAAATTTTCTGTTCTCTGGATCACTTCCCACATGATTGAGACCCTAAGTCTGAGCCTGGCTGAAGCCAGGAGCTCCATCTTGACCTCCCATGTGGTTATAGTGGTCCACATATTTGGGCCATCTGCAGCTTTCCCAGGAACATTAGCAGGAAGCTGGAAGCAGGTCAGCTGGGACATGAACTGGCGCCCTGATGTGGATGCCAGCATTCCAAACCACAGCTGAACCCACTGCACCGCTGCTGTTCTCGTGCTGCAGGGAGATGACTATTGGTGACAGATGTGTCTTGGGAAGGACACCGAATCCCTGCTGCCTCCCAGCATGCGCTTGTTGGAGAACACTAGGCTGTCTCGGCCATCCACATGTAAGACACACTCCCTGCTCAGCCGCCTGCCACTCTTGGTTGTGTCTGAGACGTCTGAGCTGCCCCTCACACCTGGTTTTGTGGCTCCTTTGCTAGACAGGAGCCAGCTGTGGCCATGCCTGCCGTCCTCCCAGCAGCCCCATTCCCTGTCTCCCTTGCTAGCTGGCATTTCTGGAAGCACACTGCACAGACTGTGTGGCAGTCTTTAATCACCTGTCTGCAGGCCCTCATGTGGCTGCCCCATCTCCACCCTCCCTGTTCCTAGAAGGTTAGGTCTGATTGCAGGGCCAGCATGTGTGGGATGAGGCCACTCTGTTTCCCAGCCTGCTGCACTGTGTGTTTGTTTACTGGAGAGATGGAGAAGGTAGAGGGAGAGGAAACTGCCAAGGATGTGTACCAGCACTGCATAAACATCTGTGTCCTGAGTCTCTATCCCAGGGCTCTCGTGTTTAAAGAACTGGAGAGGCTGGGCCACGGCGTAAGGAAGGGCTGAGAAGCTGCCACCAGTATTTGCCTGGCCTGGCTGGACTGGACAACACAGCAGGGGAGGGGGCCTTTCTTTAGCCATTCTCCCATCTTTCTTGCCAACAGAGCCTTAATTTTGCTTAAGTGCAAGCACTCCCTTTTCCAGACTCCCTGGCAGGTGGGGGGCGGTCACTGTGGGAACAGCTTCGGCCACAAACGTAGGTTGAAGGTGCTGATGTAGGGGCTTCCAATAAACCTGAAAGGGAGAGTCTTGGTTGGTGTTTGTGCTTGGCTCGTGCCATTCTCTCTGGAATGTAGACCAAATGTCCAAGCATCCACCTCATGAGCGGCGTGGAAAGATGAATGGCCCTAGGTCTTTAACAATGCTAGGGAGCCACTTCAAAGTCCCAAGATGCCTCCCCTGCTGATGTCTGCTGTAACAACCACAAACAACTCTACTTGGTTAGTCCATTGCAACCAAGCTACTGTCCTTGCCATCAAATACCATCCTAGCTGATACATTGGTAAGGGGTCATATGTGCTGTGATCCGGATGGTTATAGATTGGCCACAGCATCCTTGCAACAGCAAAGGTCAAAATGTTTCAAAGGCTTGAGTCACAAGCTAATCCTCCTTTTCCTGTGATGCCAGAATCCCATATGGGCACCAGTTCAAGTCCTGGCCACTCCACTTCTGATCCAGTTGCCTGGGAAAGCAGTAGAAGATGGCCCAAGGCCTTGGGGTCCAGCATCTACATGGGAGACCCAGAAACCCCTGACTCTCAGTTGAGGGGTCAGTCCAAGCTCTGGTCATTATGACTGCTTATCTGTGTCTCCATCTCTCTCTCTTTGTAATTTTTCCAAGTAAAATAGATCTTAATAATTTATTGTTAAGATAACCCTCATGTGTGCACAAACAGCACACAGACTGTGGCCCAGTGCTTGTGGCTGGATGTTGGAGATTCCAAGGCAGCCGGCCCAGGGCCAGCCTCTTCCTCCACCAGCCATCTCCGCCTCTGCGTGTCTGAAAAGCTCACTACCTGGGCAAAAATGCACAGAAGACACCCTCTATGCATTTTCCACAAAAGGTTAGTTTTATTTAGATTTGTCATGGTAGAAATGAAAAAAAAGAGCAGTTTGTTATATTTAGCAAAATATACTTCACAAATGCATTTAAATAAGATACGTGGAAGCCTGTTTTTAGACTTTTTTTTGCGACTGTTTCTCCCCAGTTAGAATGTCTGCCTTCTAGCCTGGCTGGGTTCTTTCCAAGTTCATGCAGGTATCAGCCAACAGTCCATCGGATGGGACCTGAGTCACTCAGTCCCATGCATGCTCACCCAGTCAGCTAGGAAATGGAACATCGGGAAGATGACAGAGACAGCAGGCTCAGCAGGAACTATTTCCCGGCCCTGCCATGTTGCCCTTCCATCAGAGGCCGGGATGACTCCAAGAGAGGGCAAATGGAGGTGAAGGTCAAGAGGAAATGCAGGTGCCCCCACCCCACCCACTCGCACCTGTTTTGTGCACGACCTTCAGGCCACACAACACACACTGCTTCCCCAGCTAAGCCAAGCTTCCCACGGGAGGTTTGTACTTTGCCTCCCAGGACACACTTTTCTAGTTCTGTACACGACGCACACACACGACACGGTTGTTAAATAGCAAGACGGTTAACCGCGGACACACGGCGCTACACTGCAAAACCAAAGCAGCCTGCTGAAGCCAGTGGGATGGGGGCACCCGGTCTTCATGCCAGAAGGCCGGAGGCTGCCTGGGGCCCGCCGACATCTGCTCAGTCCGTCACGGATCTGCACTCAGAGGGTAGGCCTTCTGATTGCCGCCACTGGGCTAGGCGCTGCTTAAACCATTTCTGCAAGAGAAAAATAATAATAATTTAAAAAAGTGTGAAAACTGGGAATGGCCATTCCCTTCTAAAAGGCAGCACAGCTGGATGGGCAGAGAACCATGATATATCCATGGAGACCACTGCCTGTCTCAGGACCTTGGCACATGCCAGTTTCTGAGCTCAATCTGTATCTTTAATCTAATGGCCTCTTTGTCTCTCTCTCTCATTTCCAGTTTTGCTCATGAGGTGGCTCCCTAGGGGGTTCCAGGCAGCACAGGTCTAATTGAATAGGATCCTCTCTAGCCATGAGAGCTGAATAAATAGAAGTGTTTGAAGGACTAATTGAATCCTGGAGCTGGCCCCATTCACAAGAGCCACCCATGTGTCTTTCCACTCGGTAGCGCAGTGGAATGTGGGGGGAGTGCTGCGGACAAGGGCTGCAGCACAGATCTGTCTACACGGGCGAGCTGGGGTGGGGGAACAAGAGTTGAGAAAAGCTCAATTTTCTTCTGAAGGCAAGCACATACATGGTCATTTCACAAACCAGCTGCCGCCCAAGGAAAGCATTCATAATCTGGGGGTGCAGCCTCCTCACGCCCCTCAACCCCAGTTGTCCACCTGGCTTTATGCTTGACTTCTCAGTACCACCTCCCCGCCTGGGAAAGACCTCTGTCTCCTGTTTGCCTCTAAAGGAATGCCTCGTTACCCTGGCCCGCTGATGGGGATTTATGTCCACGGAGCAGCCAACAGATGATAATGAGATCCCGGGAGGAGCGGGGGCTGGGGCAAAGCGACCCGTGTTCCCTTCCTTGTCTCGGGTATCCCACACTTCATTCTTGACAAGGGGGCACTGTCACAGTTCTTTATTCCGCTGACACAACAGCCAGCAATGAAAATCACCGGGGTGCTGGGAACCAGCCCAGGACACCAAGTGGAGATAAAAAAATTACTGGAAACTTCCCTAAGAACCAGTGCCAGCCGCACTGGGCTTGCGCTGTGTGTGAGAGAGAACAGAAAACACTGAATCACCCCAAGCTCCCCAGAGATGAAAGACTTTCTCAGTGGCTCCTAACACTGACGGGGCTGCTGTCTCTACAAGATGTCACTTCATTTACATAGAAGACACATCAATCTGCACTGGGATCCCGGAGGGCGCAAATTTCCGCAAACCTGGCACAGAGCCCTGTCCCCCTGCCGCCCCCAGGGAGGCAGCCACGCGGTGATCCATGCTGGAGGAAGGGGAGGAGAAAGACCCGGCCCTGGAGTGCAAGATATCTGGCTTTGGGGAGCCCTCTGCCTGCACAGGGGTCCCTACAGGTTAGGAACTGATGCCTCCCCTCCAACTCTGGTCCTTGTGGATTTGCTTATAGGGTTCCTCTAGGACCTGCTTGGAACCCAAACAGTTTCCTGATGGCCTGAACTTTTCTCTCCGAAAGACACTTCTGCAAGTACAGATGTTGGAGAAGATGGAAGAGGACACGTGCACACACACACACACACACACACACACACACACACACACACACACACTGGTGGTGGTAGAGGTGGGAAGGGTAGGAGGTGGGACACCGGGCAGGTGGCCTGGGGCCCCCAGGAAGGCTGGGGCTCTGGGTTCCTCATGCTTCCATGAAGAACTCTGCAGGAAGGCAAAAGGGTTGGCCTAGGCCAGGCCACAGGAGGGAGGAAAAGACTGTTGGCTGTGGGACAGGAAGAGGAAGCTGGGTGGGGCGGGGTGGGGTGAGGGTGCGGGGAGGCTGTGAAGAGGCCGACTCACCCCACACCACCTGGTGCTGTGGGGACCTTGGCTCCCTCTGGTGAATCTGACAATGGGGGGATGGGGGAAACGGAAGAAGGGCTGGGGAGCTGGGTGGGCCTCCCCACTCACTGGAAGCAGCAGGTGGTCCGTCCCTAATAGCAGGGAGAGTACCCGGAAGGTGGACACAGGCAGCAATGGCTGCTGTTGACACCCAGCACCCACGGGGAGCCTTCCTCTGCCCACCTTCTGTGGCATAAAGCCAGCCTGCCAGGGTCAGGTCCCAGCTGAGGGCTCTGGCCAGCTGCAGCCCCTTTCTGGCCCTCCTCTTCACCTGCACCATGGGTGGTGGGGGAGGGCAGGAGCATGATCTGATAGGTGGCTGGTGCCTGGTACAAGGCTTGGCAAGCCCAGGTCACTGCCAAGGTCGACGTGATTGCTCTGCAGTACTGGGAAGGGCACAGAGGCTCAGAGGTGCAAGAGGAGTGGGGCCCCCGGGGTTGCTGGCTGCTTATCCAGATCTGAGCTGCCTCAGCAGCGTGGTTCCTCTTGGCAGAAAGGTGGCAGGGGTTGCAGGAAACCCGAGCTGCCTGACTCGGGTTACAGCCAGACACCCTCCATTAAGTCCTGGTTCCTGGTTGATCAGACAAGCCCTTAGGCTTGCTAAAAATGGACCTGTGAGCCTTCTTTGGGACCTGTGAGTGGGAGGATTACCTACCACAAGTTCTCCAAAGTGCCTCAGGGTCTCTCCATTCTAGCATCCTCTGGAACCCAAACCTGCAGCCTCTACCAAGCTGGGTGCCTGGAGGGGAGGACTCTGTGGCATGGGGAGCTGGCTCCTTAGAGGAACTGGAGGTGTGCACTGCTCCCAGTTCCAGCGGGAGGACGCAAGCTAAATCCCTTCCAAGCTGTGCGTCATCTGTGGTCTTTCCACCATCAGTGGAAAAAAGCAGAGTACGGATTTAGACATGAAAGAGGGGGGAAAAACGCTCTGCACGTGGAGCTAACACTAAGCAGGGTCGGGGTTGCTTTCTGAACCCTCAGGCGCCTGTGGGGTAATGTGGAAGCTTTTAACAAGCTGATCCAGAAGTCCGGCACTAAGCTGTCAAGTCCAGCGAAGCAGCGCCGGCGTCAGCAGACCTGAAGGAGAAGGACTCCAGAGGGGAAGAAGAATGCGCGCGAAAGGGAAGGCGAACGAGCGCACCGGGTCCCCTGCCGCCCAAGCCCCTGACCACACACTCCTCACTTTCCTGCTTGGCCAGGACCCGAGGATTGGGGCCTATGGGGGCTTCCCATCCCAGGGCAAGGTGCCCCGGAATGCTGAGCCAGACCTGAGCCCGGGCCGGGAAGGAGGCGAGAGAGCCGGCCGGGGCCGCAGGGAGCGTGGGAGGATGAGGTGGGCAGGTGCTCGCGGGGATCGGGGCTGTCCCAAGGGGCATTGCCGACCGGAGTGATGGACAAGGGAAGGCGAGAGGGGGCAGCCACCTCAGGGGACGACCTGGACCACCCCGACTCCCCCACACCCCAGGAAAAGGCAATGCCAGGATCGGGTGCCAGTCTGGGCTGCGGGGGCGGCGGCTCACCTGGGTCTCCTCCTCCGATAGGCCAGCCTCGGCAGCGATGAGGCACAGCGTGGTGGGGTCCGGGTGCTTGTTGACCTTGTTGAAGTTGTATTCCAGGATCTCCACCTGGTCCTCCGTGGGGCCGCTCGCGGACTCGGCAGACATGGTCCCGGCACTGTGGGAGAGCAGCGGTGAGCGCGGCGGCGTGCAGCACGGAGCTCCGGGCGCGCCCTCATGCGGGGCTGCACTGCCTGGCCACGCCGCGCGCCTCCGGCTGGGCGGGGGGAACGTCCGTGCCACTGCCCGGGCACCCAGGGCGGAGAGGACCAAGCCGGGGCTTTGAGCAAAATGCCCTCGCGATAAAGACAATGTAAGTGGACAAGGGGAAAGATTAATTAGGGATGACAGCGACTGGTAGACTGTTTAAAAACAAAACAAAAGCAAAAGTAGAGACGATTCTTAACTTCCCAACGTGAAGGTTGCGGCTTCCAAAAGTTCATAGAAAAACAGATTTAAAAGATGCATCCACTTAGCTGTGCCCCCCCCCCCCATCCATGTATAAAGGTGTCTTCCAGAAATTCATGGGAAATGTGTACCATAAAAAGAAAACCTATTTCTCCCACCTGAATAACCTTTTGTTTTTTTTCTTTGTTTTTGTTTTTAACAGATGTTTCGTGAAAGCCAGAGTTACAGAGATAAAAAGTAAAGACAGGGCTTGGTGTGATGGCTCAGTCGCTTAAGTGCTCACCTTGCCCACACTGGGATCCCTTATGGGCACAGGTTCATGTCCTGGCTGATCCACTTCCCATCCAGCTCCCTGCATGTAGCCTGGGAAAGCAGTTGAGGGTGGCCCAAGACCTTGGGACCCTGCAGCCACGTGAGAGACACAGAAGAAGCTCCTGGCTTCAGATTGGCTTAGCTCGGCCATTGCAGCCACATGGGGAGTGAATCAGCAGATGGAGGATCTTCCTCTCTGTCTCTCCTCCTCTCTGTAAATCTGCCCTTCCCATAAAAATAAATAAATCTTAAAAAGAGAAAAAGCTACTCTCAGCTGTGGACTTGGTCAGACTGAGTGTCTGGAGGTGACATTGTTTTCTTGATGCAGCCACAGCAGCTCCATCGAGCTTAGCAATGCTGAATAGGTCTGCTGTGGTTTGTGCCTAGGGTTCACTCACCAAGCGGCTGCCCACTGTCATGTCACTTGCTGTGGCACCTAGGATCACGTGGTTTTTAGGGAGGGCAGTGCTCCCTGTGCAAGAGCCTGTAGCTGGGCCTCCTGGACCCATGCTGAGGTTGCATGGGACAGAGCGGCCTGACATGACTCCTGTGGGTCTCCCAACGCCCACCCCAGTGTTCCTGACATAGAACTCAGAGCCGGGAAGAAATCTTGGCAATGACCTCCACTCCCTGGGAGAATGAGGTGCAGGAGGTCTGACTCGCTCCATGCTGCCGAGAGAGCAACTAGCAACCCCGCTCCCCATTAGGCTCTGTAGGCCCCGCTGAACACGCTGAGAACCTCCTGAAGGCCATGGTGGGCCCTGCTGCTGTTCTGAGTGGGCATGGACAGTCCTGTGACAGGTGTGGGGGCACCCACGCTGTGCAGCCAGCATTGCTCCCACTGCTCATTTTCCTGAAAGACCAGGGAAGGGGGCCACTGTCGCTGCCTGAGTTCCCCACCCCTTAAAAGTCTTAAGAGTACAAGCAGTGTACTTAGGCCTACCCGGATTCCCCAAATCACAATCAGGCACCAGGAGCCCCCGAGGGGAGAGACCCACCTGCCGGTTCAACTGTAAATGTGGGCAGACCCTGTGCCCCACATTGCACACTGCTTAAACCCACAAGCCAATAGTAGGTTGAGGCAGTCGTAAAGGAATCAGCTTTGAAAAGTACATATTGGGGACGAGGGCCAGGGAGAATGACCTCTCGGCTGCTGCATGGTGGCCCAGAGCTCCCGGGGCTTTCAGCAAAGTCTCATGCCTGGATCGCACACGGCGGATGCCACGCGCAAGTGGTGAGCTGCCACCCTGGTGGCCAGCGCGCCATTTGGCGCTAGGCTTTGCCTGCTGGCCGCCCGGCCAGGGAGCTCTGGGAATTCTGTACTTTGATTGCTGCTTAGATAGCTCCATGCTGAACCCTCAGTGCTTTGTGAACGTGAATCAATCCTAACAATCCCCAATGACAGTTAATCTTCCTCAGATGAACCTATAATTAATGCTGTCTCTAACCATGGCTGTGAAAAATTGCAATACCTAATATACTGTCAAAACCTTGTGCTACTCAGAAATGGAGCGGGAGAGCAGGGAAGTCTCCCATTCCCCTTGAATGTGCGAGGAGGACGTGTAGTGTAACCTACCAGGAACATGGCAGGTAACCTATAGACAATAGACTCAAAACAGAATAGACAATGGTAAAAACACAAAGACATACAGGGGGAATCAAAAGAGATCCTAGCTACCTATTCACAGGTGGTCACATGCACAGAGCAGGGGAGGCACCCAGAGTGGAGCAGGTGAACAGCAGGAGACTCGTGTCCCAACCCTGGAGACTCCCAGATCCCCACCAAGGACTGATGATACGGGCACCAAGGACTGCATCCCAACTGCCAAAGAGACCACGGGGAACTGGAATGATTTCGGAGGCCGAGAACTCAGAGGACATCCCCCCCCACCCTTGGACCTACCACACGGGATGGAAGAAGTCCAAGCCCTTCATCGTGGGACCCAGGGTCATCGGAACACAGACAGGAACCCTGAGTGGTCCTCAGAGCCAGAAGAACTGTAAACCTCCTTCGGAATTGGGGAGAGAAGCTTTCTCTAGTCCTTGTTCGGTTCCAACTTTGGGTCCTCACCCTCTCTGCAATGACCATTGGGGTTGCTCCAGAGGCTCCCCGCCAAACACACACACGTTAGAATAGATAGGCAGAGAACAAAAAGGAAAGCCTGATCAGCATAAACTCATACACACTTCCCTAGGGAGGACACAAAGATTAAGCACTTCTCAGCAAGGTATTGAGAATTTCTCTGCACACCACCCCTCCTAAACTGTCTCGCACCTCAATTGTTGAAATGTCATCGAAGTAATCACAGGTTAAGAACTTGCATTTAATCTTAATATATTGCTTACTCGATACTATGTCAATTAGTCCCACAAAATTGTATATTGTTGCTGATGTTATGTTGGGGCTTGGAATTGACTGGAATTTCACTTTGTTGGCTCTAACTTTGGACCAGAGAAGGTCTCCCCAAGAAGCTGTTGAACTTATCTGGAGGATGAGATGCTGGACTCTATGCTAGGTATAGGCTCACAGGGAAGGAATCGCAACTGAACTTGAACTGTGGATACGCAACAAGGTGGAGGAATCCACCATGGGGGGAGGATTGGGGGAGGAGAGGGGGAATTCCAATACCTAAAAAGCTATATCACATAATGCAATGTAATAAATTAAAAAAAAAAAGGAAAAGAAAAGTACATGTTGAAATGAGTGATTTAGACATCAGGCTATTTACTCATCTTTTGGATACAAAGTTAGGAGTGAGGAAATGCCTTAAGAATGCTAAATTATGATTTATAAAGGGGTGCTTTCTTACGCTTTCAGAAATAAACTCCTTTTCAAACTCATTAAAATCTGTTCCTGCATTGAGATCAGCATGAGAAGGCAAACTTCTGCCTCTTCCTCAGTGGAACATTATGGTGGGAAAGATGTGGCAGGCTCCGGGAAACGCTGACACCTAAGCCATCATTCACGCAGACAACATTGCTAATAGAATAGTAAGCCGTACATTAGAACAAATAGGTTGCAGATGCTGCTGTCTTCAGGGAACGAAACTGCAACTCCAGACAGGAAACCGTATTTTAAAACTACAAAAAAAAAAAAGGCAACATGAATTCCAATTGGAAGGCAAAATAACAAAGTTCTAGGATTGGTTACATCTGTATTGTAGGATGACAGATCACTTAAAAAGTTTGTTTTCGGGGGGGCCGGTTTGAGGTGCAGTGGATAGAGCTGCTGCCTGTAACACATTGTCACCACTCCACTTCCAGTCCAGCCCCCTGTGCATGTGTCTGGGAAAGCAGCAGAAGACGGCAGAAGATGGCTCAAGTGCGAGTCCCTGACCCACATGGGAGAGCCAGCTGGAGTTCCTGGCTCCCGGCTTTGGCCTGGTGCAGCCGTGGCCATGGTGGGCAGCTGGGGAGTAAACCAAACAGCGCAAGATGTCTCTCCCAGCCATTCTTGCCTTTCAAATAAACAAACAAGTCTGTTTTTTTTTTTTAAAAAAAGCTTCTTTATACTTCTCTCTCAGATTTTCCATAAGCATTTTTAAATTCCAAAATCAGAAATTTTCTTCTTAATAATGAAAATGTCCTTGGTCAGACCCAGTTGGATGATTGGTACCAAATAACGCTTCAGGAAGGACAGGCATGTCCATCGTGTGCTCACCCATGTCGGTAGGTATCCAGAGGACACATGTAATGTATGTGGACGTTATGAAACATCCGTGAAGCTGACATCAGTGAACACCACCGCGTTTAGGCATGAAAGCATCATCACCAAGACTACGGAAAGCACCTGTATCTTTCCACTAGCCCCACGGTCTTGCTGACCCCTCCGAGAAAAACATGAGCCTGCAGGTTGCATTCTTCATTCCTCTGTATAAAAGCAATTTAAAAAAAAAAAAAAGATTTCTTTTTATTGGAAAGGCAGAATTACAGAGAAGGAGAAAGAGAGAGATCTTCTGTCTGCTGATTCACTCCCCAAATGGCCACAAGGGCTGAGGCTGAGCCAATCTGAAGCCAGGAGCCTCTTCTGGGTCTCCTACATGCAGGTACAGGGTTCCAAGGCTTTGGGCTGTCCTCGACTGCTTTTCATAAGCAGGGAGCTGGATGGGAAGTGGAGCAGCCAGGACAGGAGTCAGCACCCATATGGAGTCCCGGCGCATGCAAGGTGAGGATTTAGTCATCGAGCCATTGTGCTGAGCCCAAAAGAAATGTTTTAAAAGTTTATTTTTCTGAAAGTCAGAGAGATGCAGAGACTGGCATACAGAGCTCCCAATCTGCTGTTATTCCCAACGCCACAACAGCCAGGCTGGGCTGGGCTAAAGCCAGTAGTCTGGAACCCCAACTACTGGAGCCATCACCGCTGCCTCCTGGGAACAGGACTGGCAGGAAGCTGGGGAC